GTGTGGGTGTGCGTGGGTGTGGCTGTGGGGTGTGGATGTGAGTGTGGGTGTGCGCATGTATCCTCTTTTTACTTACATCCACACTCATACCCACATCACACACTCCACACCCACATCATAGCTAATAAGATTTTTGTGTTGATCGAGACTAACTTTTATTTAAAAAAATAAAAACAGGACTTGTTAAAACCAAGTCTCTGTAACTTCATGTTCGACAGTGACTGTTTCTATATGAAGTGGTTGTGGCAGTTGAACTGGCATTAGTGGAGTATTTTTCAATTGCTGACCGATTTTAATTATTTTCTTTTTCAACTTTCTAAGACATCGTCCAATAGGTGAATGATTCCAAAAGGCTACCATATAAACATTAGCTGGATAAATATAGTAGAAAAATGAAAATGACTGTGGTAAAAGGTCAAGTATATTTCCGAATACAAACACCAGATATGGCAGCGACTCGAGTTTCGATGCTTTAGAACAGGTCATTATTTCATTTATAACCAACATTGGTATTGAAAAAAATATACTCACGCTAAGTGGTATAAAAAAATCACGATGATTACGTAAAATGAGACGAATATTTTGTAGAGTTGTATAATTTGGAGCGATACGTTGACGATGTCTTAGTAAATGAACAAAAACACCAAGACAAAGTAGTATATAGGAGAGAAGTGTACCATATAAGTGTATACTGAAAATAACTTTATAGATGGTATAGCCAGTTGGTGTATAGTTAACACAACTCACAAGTGCCAGCAACCCATTGATCTGAGAGTAAAATTGATCTGTTGGAGGTTTTTTGAGAGTAAAAATGCCAGGTATTGTTGTTAAAGGACAAATAATAAAAATTAATGTTGAAATTATAAATGAACGTTTTCGTGAATCAAATATACTATAATTATAACATTCAACTAACATACGTTCCAGTCCTATAGAAACTAAACTCCATTGCCAGATATATGCTAACGATACTAAAACAAATTTTTGATAATTTAAGCATTGAATGTGCAAAAAACGATCTGATAATTTTTCTGGAAACCAGAATAGAATTGCTTGAAATAAGTATTCAAGTGAAATTAATAATGAAATAATTGCATTAAAAATTAGATAGACACCAATATTTGTAATACGTATTTTTCGGCTAGAGAGATATGTTTGTAGACAGAGAAGAGAATTGATCATTCGAATAGCCGCCCACAAAAGTGTAAAAAATCTTGAAGCATTAATTATTTGTAGTGTTGGCGGTAGTTGACCTAGGCCCCAAAGATTCCTTGAGAATACTTCCTCTTCACAAGTATTACCATAATAACATGGATAACAAATACAGACTGAGACAGAAGTAGGAATAATTGATGTAACACATAAGCCACGTTCTAAACAAATATCTTTGTTAGTATCACAGAGTTTTAGACCCATACTAGTTAAGCATTCGGTAAGATTGTTCTGGCATGCAGCAACATCCATGCTTATATGTATTAGGAGAAATGAAAGAAAAAAACACGTCTGTATGTGTATTTCACTCAAAATAAGTGTAAAATTTGTTCTTCACTCTTTTTATCTCATTACTCGGCTTTTATGTATAATATATTTCATGACTCAAGAAAAGGAAGTAAAAAGGATCCACTTTTTTTCATTACCTACAAGTGGAGAAAAATATCTTTCTCTTTCACGATTGACTAAACAAGAGAATAAGTTGGATGAAAAAGGAAAAAATACGTCTGTATGTGTATTTCACTCAAAATAAGTGTAAAATATGTTCTTCACTCTTTTTATCTCAGTACGCTGCTTTTATGTATAATATATTTCATGACTCAAGAAAAGGAAGTAAAAAGAATTCACTTTTTTTCATTACCTACAAGTGGAGGAAAATATTTTTCTCTTTCACGATTGAGTAAACAAGATAATAAGTCGGAAGAAAAAGATAAAAATGACATTTTTCTTCTTGTTTATAATCATAAAAATATTACTATTTTCGCATAGAAAATCGTTCGATTGGTATACGTAAGTATCTTCTGTCGAGATTGTAATGTTTTATAAAATTTAACTTAACAAATTCTAGCGTATATACTACAACATTGCCCATAACGATGTCGTCTAAAAATAAATCTAAAGATTCCCTGAAAGCATCGTTGAATGGCGTGACAGATCGTCGAGTGTATCGAGACGAAACACAACTTTCTATCTATCATTATGTTGATGGAGAGAATACTGCAACTGACACTCGTGAAAGCCGTCGTACGCGTTTTGTGTACTCATCTGATATGTCATCTCCAGCAGCATCGTCAACTATCGTTTCTAACGTTGATACTCCCGTCACTACTAAATGTGATAGTTGTGACTTATTTGAGGAACGGAATCACTACGATTGGGAACTTGTTGATGCGAACGTTCTTCAGACAGCTCTCAACTTTAGAGAGGAACTAATACCATGGAACAATGACAACAAAAAACTAAAAAAGAAAATTTATACTATCAGTAAAGGCTATTTAGCACTGCGTTTAGATTACATAACAGACAAGAACCAAATCAACAAAATCCGTGAATTCTTCGAGCAAGCGATGCAAGAATGCGATCCAAGTCATGTTGTAAAGGCGTATTCTGTGAGCCAAAGCTTTTCTAAACTTTTGAATAAAGATATGGCACGTATTGTACTGCACGATATTCATAAAGGATGCAGTAAATTTAGTTGTGATACTTTGTATACAACACAAGATGGTACAAAATCAATTGCCAGTATTCTCTTTTACCATCCAGGATTCACTACATACCAAGGAACGGTTTATCGTGGTATATTCGATTCAAGAGAATTAGTAAATATTCAGGTGAATCGCTGTATTATGACTAATACATTTTTGTCAACATCAAAACTACCTGAAATAGCTGATATATTTGCATCGTATAATCGAACAGAGCAAAAACTTGATCGAGAAGGTAAAGAAGGCGAAGTATCAATCGGTTGTACATTCATAATTAAAAATATCGATGGACATCGTCGAGCATTAGATATAAGTGGTATATCTGAATATCCGTATGAAGAGGAAGTACTGCTGCTGCCATATTCAGTATTTCTAATAACGAAAAGAGAGACAATCGAACTTCAAAATAACAAAGGGAACAGAATTGAAATTGAATTCGAAGAATGTGATCAGGCACAACTAACAGCGAGTCTTAGTCACCAGTAAAATGTTTCGTATTGAACAAACCTTTATCGGCGAACGAGAAAAGTGATAAATATATTTGACTTCGTTTTTATTTTTTTATACGCGAAGTTTCGGAATTATAGAAATCTTGAAAGAGCTTCTTCCATATCTTTTCTTTTATAACTTGAACCGATTTATAATCTTTACAGAACGCAATGATCTTAACAGAAGCCAGCAGTAGCATTAAAAATTGCGCCAGAGAATATCGTGCGTAGGCATGTCACAACACCAATACGGTTTTGAGGTATTGATAGTGAACGGTATTGACTGATATTAGATATTGATTAGTGTCAGAATCATCATTCACCAATACCAATATAATTCAAGATCTACAATAGATGCACATGTGAAATTATGCATCAAACGACTGCTATCAAAGAGATCATTTCAAATGAAAAACGGTGGAAGGAAGGTATGGGTGTGGAGTGTGGGTGTGTCTATGACTGTGAGTGAGATAATCAGCAAAACCAGACTCACAGGGTGTGGGTGGGCAATGGGGAAACAGCAGACTTTTGTACTTCAAGTACTTTGCGCTACTTTAAGCTTACTTCAAGTAGAGTACTTTGAAGTACTTTTCTACTTCAAGTCTGCTATTTCTCCCTTGGCGTGGGGTGTGTGGGTGTGGATCAAATAGAGATCCTATCGCACACCCACACTCCACACCCACACCCGCACCCACACCCACACCCACACCCACACCCACACCCACACCCACCCACACCCACACCCACACCCAGCCACCCACACCCACACCCTGTTTTTCAATCGTTGTTTTCATGCTATAATTGAAAAAGTGTTTCAAAGAGTATTAAAAAACACAAAATCCACGTTGACAATAAACATGTTTTCGCGCTGATTTGGCGTCTTTTGAAAAACGTGCACTTCTTGTTTAAATATAAACGTATTGAGTGTGTTTGGCTTTCTTATCTGCTTGGGTATGGAGTGTCCATCGTTGCTCCATTATTAACCGATATCGGAGCGGTCGAGAGTGAAATCGTTTCCTGCTCAGCTTGACAATCAAAGTGTCGCATACAGGTTGGTGGTAGTATTTGGAAGACAATGTAACGTGTAGATGGATGATAGTTACAAGTAATAAACCAACGTTTCTCTTTGAGCCAGAACGGTGTTCGGAATGAAGCCAATATTGATTCCATATAAACAAATGCATGGTCTTCGTGGACTGTGGTAAAATAATAAAGATCGAATCTTTGAAGCCAAAGTAATTTTGTAGAAATTAGTTCTTCCCATCGGGATCCATTGAGCAAAGAACAACGTGAATCACTCCCGATGTCTAGTGTAAGATGGACAAGTGAAGGTGTGAGTGCAAGCAACGGTTCAATGTCGTTCATCTGAGCGCTCTTGGACAGTAGTGACAGAGAAGTTAATTGTGTGTATACTGTGAGAACAGTAGACGAAAAGGCACTTAGATCGGCCTTAGCCGGCGGGACATTCAGCAGTACCAATGTTCTTAGATAAGGTGAGTGCGAAAGAATGTGACAAAATTGTTTGAACGTACACCACGGCTGCAAATATAGATACTCGAGAGTGCATTGGGCGGGCCAAGAGATCTGTTCGAAGCTGTGATAATCAATCATCAATTGGAGCTTCCGAACAGAGGATTGTCCGATAACCAACGAAAGAAGAGACAACGTATCTTTGCCCAATGGGTCAGGCCACCTAATTGTCAGGGAGTTGAGCGCGCTGGTGATGACGCACTGCAATAGAGTTCGTTGATTACTATGATTGATTTCATTGAGAGTCAACGCACGAAGTCGAGAGAATCGACGGGGATCCACAAGTGAAGAGGTCGAGTCTTCTTGTCCAGGTGTTTTACGTGCGTCGGAAAGTGTGAGTGCAATGACACTGTCCGGTCGAACGATGTGATAGATGAGAAGAAATTCTTGCTTGGTCGTTGAAGTGAAGTCAAGATGATAACGATAGAAGGTGTCGGTGATCGCATAGAGCTGTGTGCAGACACTTCGAACAGATAGAAGAATAGTTCTTGCATCAAGATTGTCAAAAATTCGATGGAGAAGCTCAGTGGGCAATGTGAGAAGCGTCGGGATAGATGATGTCATCATTAATACGACGTTATTAAGTTTTCAGTGATCTGCTGACGACAACAAAGTATGTATTCGTGGCAGTGTAATTTCATCGTGTAGTGAGTCACATATGAAACAGAAAGGCGTGCCTCTTGCGTTCTGCGCAAACATAACTTCGAGTAGTCTTCGTTTTCGTTGCATCATTTTATCATCACATGAAAAAGCGACAAAAAGTCTATGTGCGAATCTGTATCAATTATAAAAATATGCTTTTGAATTTCCATCGAACGAGCTACTCGCATCACGTCACGAAATCCACCGTTATTACATTCGAGTGATCTTTCCAGTTTCTGTGTTCTTTTTTGTAAGTACTCTTATGCCTGCACTTTTAGCTTTATTTTGCTCTTTGAACATATGTATGTGTTTTTATTAAAGTACTCCTAAATGAAAAACATTATTGGTTGGCTCATAGATGTTCAAGAGTGTAAATCATTCTAAGCTGGTCGAAAATGAAAAATTGGTTAAGTCTGGAACACAAGTTAACTGACTGAAAGACTCCAACAATGAACATCTCATCGCTTTCTGCTCGTCATTTATATTTCTCAGGTGGGCTTCACTTTCAATGAAGGCTGTAGTCAGATGAAAAATAGTGAAGGGCCATTGTGAAGCTATGCCCAAGGATGATCAGCGCCATCCATCGTTTGTAGGTCAAATAGAAATTCTCTTTTTCGCAGCATGATCAACGAAAGCCACTCGTTGTTCGACGTGCAGTTAGCAGAAAAATATTCTCATTTATACTTTGAAAAGGAGTAAAAGAAGTCGAGCGCCATTGATGTTATCCTGTGCAATACATGCGCAGAGCACTTTGTGCTGTTTACTGATAATCGTGTGCTTGACTAAGATCTCCATGTTTCGATTGGTAAAGTTCTGTCCTTCCAAATACACCATTGAGTGACTTCTTGATCGTGTCATGGTTTGTTCAAGTTGAGAGTTATGATATTGGTGGAGTTCTATCAATAGCACTCGGAAGAAAAATGGGAACATCGCTGTTTCTTTTAGAAGAAACGCTTTATCGATAAAAGAGATCGATAGATTCTTCTTCAAACAACACGTCCTTGGCAGTGATGGTTAAAGTAATGAACGCGATGAAGAATCTCTCTTGTTCTTTGAAACTGTGTGCGTCCATCTATCTCTAATCACCTCAGACGAAACATTTCTCTCTATACTCTTGACTTGGAAAGAAGATTCGAGTAGAGAAAGACCAACTAAGAACAGTCAAGAGGAAGCTATCTTGTTCAATCGAGAATGAGTGTCTTCTTTTTGCTCGCCTGTGAACAGTCGACATCGATAAACGACTCCCTCCGAAAAAGTTCAAAGTAGCACCCCACCCCTGGATGTTGAGCGATTTTTAGGAGTTTCTTTGGCGTTTTATGAATTTTTAGGAGTTTTTACGGGTTCCCATAGATTTGCATAGGTTTTGGGGGTTCTCCTCGATATTTATCTATTTTTAGGATTTACATGGGTTGTAAGGAATTCGCAAGAGTTTCCATAGGTGTCCAGGAATTTCGATGGGCTCGCAAGTGTTCGCTGCATGGTTAAAGCTAATCGATGTGGTATGATGGTTTCACAGAGTTTCGTAAGTTCCAGGAAATTTTGTAAAGTTTGGAAACCATTTTGGTTTTCCCTGGAGTTTTTAGAAAAAAAAGAGTTAACATATGATGCAAAGGTAATGGGACAAATGTCGAACCCTATTTCTCTTTGATAGAAAGGTACTGACAAAAAAGTTTTTTACCAGAAGATACAGAATTTTTTCCTCTTTTGAATCGTATATAACTTATTTTTATCACACATTCATAAACGAAATGACTCAAAAGAAAAGAGAAGCACTCTCAAAATGAGGCCGCACTTTTCTGTAAAATGACAATACAAAATGTTGACCCCTACATCTCTTCGATAAGCACATCCAAAGACAATATTTTTTTTACCAATTGATAGAAAACTTTTCGTTCTTTCGAACCGTATATAATTTATTTTTGCCATACAAACATAAGTAAAATGATGTGAGAACAAAAGAAAACATTCGCATAATAATTTCTCGATTTTTTTATGAATTCATCAAAAAGATTGTGTGAGATGATATTCAATTATAATTAACTGTTGTTTTACAAAAACTTTTTGATCAGTTCATAAAACCAAATCAACTACTGTCTTACAAGACCTTTTTGACGAGTTTACAAAATCAAATTAACTGTCATCTGCAAGATCTTTTTTATGAGTCAATATAAGAATCGGAATTTTATCGTGCAAGTGTTTCTCTTACTTCTTGTGTCATTTTGTTTATGCATGTATAACAAAATTAAGTTATACACAGTTCGAAAGAGGAGACGATTTCCTATCAGTTGATAATAAAATTATTGTTTTAATGCGTGTTTACTAAAGAGATATAGGGGTTGATATTTTGTGCCGTTATTCTACGTTATATGAAAAGTGCGGACTCATTTTGACGGTGCTTCTCTTTTCTCTTGCGACATTTCATTTGTGAATGTGTGATAAAAATAAGTTATATATGATTCAAAAGAGGAAAAAATTCTCTATCTTCTGGTAAAAAAGTTTTCTCGCAGCACCTTTCTATCGAAGAGAAATAGGATCCAACATTGGTCCCATTACTTTTGCATCATATGTTATTTGTTATTTATCTGTTATTAATAACAAGAACAACTTTTTGTTATTGTTATTAACAACAACAACAACAACATTTTTTTGCTATTGTTATTTATAATAATAACATTTTTGTTATTGTTATTTATAACAACAACAGTAAATTGGCACGCCTAGGGGCGGGGGAAGTGGGTCCAAATTTCTACCCCTATACACTTCAACACTCCTTTTAGATCATGTTTCACAGAAAATATTCTACTGTTTAAGTCTAGATGATATTAGAGGATGTGAGGATGTGACTTTCGATAATGAAAGAAAGTAAATTGCTTTTTTTTTCAATTATTTTCATCCGTTCATATGCATTGTGGCGCACCCTACAAACGCTACATGCATCGTTCTATAGACGCGCTTAGGTGTGTTAAATGTTTTATTTTAGAGATATGAAAACGCGTTGGTACCAATGGCGTCCGACGCATAATTTGCACGCAATAGAAACGTGTTTCTCTCCATTCGAAAAAGTACATGGGGATGATTATCAGTGTAAGCAATATAAATAGTGTGATCATCGGCAACTAAGATACCTTCAGGATAACATTTACTTCCATGTGTTTCTCAAGAAAATAAATAATTTCGTCTGGAATGTATTAATAAGAAAAGGATACAGAAGACTTTACTATTCTAAAGTGAAAAGAAGTTGAACCTATTACAAATGATACATCAATTGTGAATCATCTTTATTCCATCCTCGGCAAAGCACTTACAATCAACTATTATGTCACTCATTTGGTACATAACTCTAGATAATGAAGAGATAAAAAGAAATGCAAAAAAGTAACAAAAACAACGCTGATTGAATGTCTGGTAACAAGAGTTAGATGTTCGCCCGTCGTTCGTCTCTTTATTTCTCTCTCCTCCTTCGAAGGATCGACCGACATCGATCGTCGAAAACAAAAAGAAGAGAGAATATGTAATATCAATAGAAGGAAAAACACAAGATGGCAATAAAAGGAGAAGAACAACAAACAAGGAGACGAGAAGTCATCTTCCCGTCTCCAAACACAACAAAAAAAAAACAAGACACTTTGGTGACATGTTTTCTTTTCTTGTACGTACTTTTTCCTCTCCTCATCTATGTTTTCCATCATTCATGTCGATAATTCTTAGAGATTGTGCGGAAATATAATATGATGAAAAGTGTTCTATCTCTGTTGTGTTCCAGTGAACAATACCATTTGATAAAGAGTAAGTTCTTATATCTATACCACTATTGAAGATCGATAATGGATTATATGACAAAAAAAAGCAATATTTCACTAAGAATCTACCTAAACAGACATATTTCTTTTTTTTTTCTTTATGTATGTTTATACAAAAGTCAATCTTAATCTCTAAATGGGTTTTTAAATGAAAAGCGAGTGAACTATAGATTATCGATAGTGACAATTTTGAATATATTACCCAATGAGTACTCTGCATAGGCTGTCATAGAACGGTTTTCTTCAACGGCAGTTTTTCAGGCCAAAAACTTTTTTCAATCTTTGTATCAAACGGTAATTTTATCATTCCAGAATATCTCTAGAAAAATTCAGTCTTAATTATAATTTTATATCTGCATTTTCTTATCAGTAACTTGCAAAAAACGATGATAAGGAAAATAATTGGACAATGTTCATATACTTAAGCTGTCTGTCGCAAACAGGAAGAAATCAATAAAAAACGTTTGATAAAAACAATTTTTTGCCTCAAAAATTAGTTTTTTAGAAGACCCCTGAGCTGGTTCATGAGTTGCTGATATACTCATATTCAAAAATAAAGTATTTAACTTGTTTTTTTTCTCTGAATTTGTTAATGATCAACATAAAGAACGATTTTAGCTGATAAAATGAATAAAAATTCCAATAATGAAGAAAATGAATTGGAAGCAATCGATTTTATTGAAAATAAAATACAAGATTCTCCTGCTAAAACAACCTGGAAACATGTATGGACATTCGATAAATCACAAAATGCATTATTAAACTCACCATTTGTTGATATCCCTACTGAAATTATGTTGAAAATCTTTGGATTACTCTCAATACATGATCTGGGAAATGTTTCATTAGTTTGTCGATCTTTTAAAATGATCGTTGATCAAGATGCCATATGGAAAAAAAAATGCAATATTAACTCACATTTATTTCTATATTTAAATTCATTCGAAAATAAAATAGTATTAAAGAAGTTATATTCAAAATCATATAAACAAATTTATATTGATTGGATTTATGGAAAATATCTTCGAAATAAAGAATTAGAAAGACTTTTAAAAAAATATCGAAGTATGAACATATCTTGTGCTTGTAGAATGAAATATTCACCTTCTCGAGATTTTGTTCAACCCATAATTGATGAATCATTTTGTCCTATTTTTGGATTTGATCAACATCCAAATTCATCAGCAGATATGTAAGTCAAAGTTTAATTGAGCTCAAAGGAGGAGGGCGGATAAGGTCACTTTGCGACCCACCTTAGCATTGATTTATTTCTATTG